CAAATGAGGAGGAGATACTGTACACCATATGAAGGTCCATCTCCATTCCTCAATATAACGTCATGTGACCAACAAATGGGGAGGAGATACTGTACACCATATGAAGGTCCATCTCCATTCCCCAATATAACGTCATGTGACCAACAAATGAGGAGGAGATACTGTACACCATATGAAGGTCCATCTCCGTTCCCCAATATAACGCCATGTGACCAACCAATGAGGAGGAGATACTGGACACCATATGAAGGTCCATCTCCATACTTATAATTAATACAAATAATTTCTTTCCAGCAGGTGGTCAGAATGTTCGGAATAGGAAAGGATCGGAGGGACATCTTATTTTATCTCCATATGGTAAGGCAGAAGATGATGACATCACACAACATTCTCCGGGAGTGAATCCCATTACTCATAATATTCATCACAGACCTTCCCATTTGGAGACATCCACAGATCTCTCCAATCCCGAGGAACCTTCTTTAAGTCATGAAGGAGATCAAACAGGAGCGAGTTTGTTGTCTTCTTTCCAGTGCAAGAAACCTCTCACTGAATACAAAACACTTCTAGTACAGCCGGGAAGTCACTCCCGTGAACGTCCTTTTTCATGCTCAGAGTGTGGGAAATGTTACAATACGAAAGGAAATCTCCTTGAACACCTGAGAATTCACACAGGTGAGCGTCCTTTTACGTGTTCAGAATGCGGGAAAAGTTTCACTCTAAAAGCGAGCCTCTTCAGACACCAGAGAATTCACACAGGTGAGCGTCCTTTTACGTGTTCAGAATGCGGGAAAAGTTTCACTCTAAAAGCGAGCCTCTTCAGACACCAGAGAATTCACACCGGGGATCGTCCTTTTCCATGTTCAGAGTGTGGGAAATGTTACAATACGAAAGGAAATCTCCTTGAACACCTGAGAATTCACACAGGTGAGCGTCCTTTCTCATGCCCAGAGTGTGGAAAAAGTTTTACAGTGAAAAGAGACCTTCGTAATCACCTGAAAATTCACAAGGGTGAGCGCCCTTTCACATGTTCAGAGTGCAGAAAATGTTTCCATCGCCAAGCAGAACTTCTTATTCACCAGAGAAGTCACACGGGTGAGCGGCCTTTCTCATGCTTAGAGTGTGGGAAATGTTTTTATCGTAAATCATGCCTTTATAAACACCAGAAAATTCACACCGGTGAGCGTCCTTTCTCATGTTCAGAGTGTGGAAAATCTTTCATTCTAAAAGGAGACCTTCTTAATCATCAGAGTATTCACACCGGCTGCTATCCCTTTTCATGTTCAGAGTGCGGGAAGGGTTTCCATAAGAAAGGAAAACTTCTTGAACACCAGAGAATTCACACAGGAGAGCGTCCTTTTTTCTGTTCAGAGTGCGGGAAATCATTCACCATGAAAGGAGACCTTCTGAAACACCAGAGGATTCACACGAGTGAACGTCCTTTCTCATGCGCGGAATGTGGGAAATCTTTCACTATTAAAAAAGACCTCCGTAGACACCAGGACACGCACACAGGCGAGCGCCCCTTCTCATGTTTAGAGTGCGGGAAAGGTTTTGTGCAAAAAAGGAGTTTAATTACACATCAAAGCACACACATGTCTGCTGATGCTTTTGAGAAATTGTAAGTAGCTTTCACACAGGTGGGGTTGTTCAGTCTGATAAAGATCTCTATGAAAAGATGAGGCGCGGAAGCCTGTAGGGACCGGTCTACCAGGCAGACGGGACAGAGGATCAAGGGAGTATATATATTTTTTATTTGAGCCCCAACACCATAACAAGCAGTAAATCCCTTTTTTATTTAATTTTTTGATATACAGAAACAAAAAAAACAAAAAGATAAACCAATGTACAAGAAACATAACGTAAGCTCGTGTTACATAAGATAATGCAAAATAATAAATTACAAATAAAAGTTTATATCAGACTAGAGGTGTGAGCGTCTATCATTCCGAGTAGGGATGCACTGATACCGATATTGACCCTCCCCTCCTGAGACCCTCCGCACGTCTCCTCCTCCTGAGACC